AAGCTGCTTTATGAAAGTTGGTGCTCCTATGTTGGGTGCATATATGTTTAGAATAGATATCTATTGTTGATGGATTGAACCTTTTATCATTATGTAGTGACCTTCCATGTTTTTTTTAGTTTTTGATTGCTTAGAGGATATTTTGTCTGATATTAAGATCATGACTCCTACTTCCTTTTGTGTTCCATTGACCTGAAATTTTGTTTCCCATCCTCTTACTTTGAGTTTGTGCATATCCTTTGTGGTGAGATGAGTATCTTTGAGACAATTTATTGTTTCCTCATGATATTTTATATACTTTGCTATTCTATGTCTTTTCAGTGGTGTATTTAGTCCATTCACATTCAGGCTAATTATTGAGATGTGAGAGTTTATTCCTGTCATGAGGTTCTTATAGAGTTTGTTGTGGTTGCTGCTGTTTGTTTATTGTCTTTCTTTTGATTTTTTGATTGGTTCATGTGTGTTTTCAATCTTTTTCTTGCTTTCTTGTGAAGGGCATTGTTGCTCTTTTTTTCCTTTCTTCTGTGTTTAATACTTTCTTAAGTGTTACTTGTAGAGCTGGTCTGGAGGCAGCAAAAGCTCTTAGGGATTGACTGTCAGGGCAGGATTTTAATACTCTATCACTGATGAAACTTAGCTTAGCTGGATAGTTAATTCTTGGTTGAAATTTTTTATCTTTGAGAACTTTGAAAATTGGGCTCCAAGTTCTCCTAGCCTGAAGTGTTTCTGTAGATAAGTCTACTGCTATTCTAACTGGTCTTTTTTAGTTTTTGATTGCTTAAGAGATAGTCTGACCTTTCTCTCTTGTTGCCTTTAGGATTTTTTCTCATATAACTACTTTGTGTAGGTGGATTTCTATGTGTCTAGGATTTGGTCTTTTTGTTTGTTGTCTTGCAGGTGTTCTCTGAATCTCTTGTGTTTGGTCGTGTCACTGATGGAATAAGAAAAGTTTTCTTGGATAATTTCATGGAATGTTTGTTCCAGGGTGGTCTCTGACTCTCTATCTGCCTCAGAGATTCCAATTAATCTTAGGTTTGGCCTCTTTGAATAATTTATCATCACTTTTTCTGTCTTTTTAAACTTCTTTTCAATGTTTTTAACAGTTTGGGTTAGTTCCATATTTTGGTCCTCAAACTCTGAGATTCTTTCTCCTGCTTGGCTAATTCTGCTTTCCATCCTTATCAGTTTGTTATTTATTTCATTCACTGTATTCT